AAAGTGCAATATTGCTGCCTCCTGGATCACTTCCTGCTAGTATCCTCTTTTTCCCAGTGGCTAAAGTAAAGACTATAAATAACTGAAATCAAAGGTAAAATCTCAGACTTGAGAGTCTCAAGTCCCTTCTCTGTGAGTTTGACCAAGCTGTCACAGCCAGGCAGTAGGTGCTCGTGCTGTGCTGTGCTGTGCTTCTTCCCAGAAACTCAGAGCATAGGTCAACTCATCTCCACTTTCTGCCTATTACTGGGTTACTCAGCTCCCTTTTAAGCTCCTCCTGCATGCTCTGCAGGTGTGGCAGCATGAGAGCTGCCAGGGACCAACATAGCTCTTTAACTCTTCCCTTTCCAGTGCATGATTTGTACATGCCATCACACTCGAACCTCCGCCCCATCCAACTGCCCCCTGTCCCCTGACTGCCCCCTGGGACCTCCTGCTCCTTATCCAACCCCTCCTCCCCCTACCATGCCACTTAGAGCAGCAGGACAGGCTTACTGGAAAGCCTGGGAGGTGGGTGGGTGCAAGACATGCTTCCTGCATGGCTATGGGGGAGGGGGGACAGCAGGGGAAGGACTGGGGGCAAGCCTCCCCGGCCAGGAGCTTAGGGGCTGGGCAGAATGGTCCCATGGGCTGTAGTTTGCCCACCTCTGGCCTAGGGAGTTCTTCCATTAAAGTGAATATAGAAGAAAAGGAGAATATACAGCAGGAAACAAAAGGTGAAGCTGGAAGCAAAGGTCCAGCATGCTGAGGAATAACAAAGGTTACAATTCAGAATACAGGAAGTGCTTCTGCAACCTATTTACTGAGTGTGGCTCTCCAGCCCCCACTAATGGCTGCACCACATGCAGGGTTGAGTCATTACAGACTTCAGAGGCTTGTCTTTTAACAAAAGCTTCTGTTTTTAGATCCACGGATCCTAAGTTCAGTCACTGCTGCCAACAACCCACCCCAGCACATTGTGATATTCTGCCAATTCAAGGGACACCCTCAATTTGAAAATCTAGTCAAAAAAGATTTAGGTACAAATTGACCTCTGAGTACCCCTGCCAATTTGTGTGGTTTTTCAATCATATTCCACCCACCTCCTTTTTTAAAAAAAACATATTTGATTGAGTGAAAGGCCCGCATAAAAGAAAGGCCTCGATCTGCAAACACTAATGTGTGTGAGTAATGTTATTCATGTGAACTGCATAGTGATTGTAGGATTGTGGCCAAAACAGGAAACTGACAAACTACTCTCAAATGTAGAGGAAATAAATGACAACAAAATCATGAAGTGTTTTGTCTCAAATCTCTTTCGGGTATAGTCATGTTAAGTGTTGTTTATAACGATCATTGGTTAAAAAAAAAATCAGCCAGACATATGGATCATAATTTTCAAAATTTGGTGTCTAAAGGTAGCCACTTAAGTCTTTATTTAAGCATCTAAGAATTGGCTTATTTTCAGAGATGCTGAATAGATACATAGTAAATATTTATACTAGGGTAAATAATTACTATTGTTGCAAGAGGTAGTTCATTGAAAATAACATTATGACAATGCTAAGCCCCTCAAAGTATTACATGTATCATTTTACCTATGTAACTTTGTATCCTTTGTTATTCTGTACACACTTTCTCAAACTTTTGTATTGGTGACCCTTTCACACAGCAAGCCTCTGAGTGCGATCTCCTCGCCCCCTTATAAATGAAAAACACATTTTAAAATATTTAACACTATTATAAATGCTGGAGGTGAAGCAGGGTTTGGGGGTGGAGGCTGAGAGCTTACAACCCCCAGGTAATAACCTCACGACACCCAGTTTGAGAACCCCTGCTTTACACTACAATACTCCTGATGTTAGGCCAAATTCAGAAAGAAAGTAGCTGTTTTTTTATAGTTCATAACTCATCTACTGATTCCTTTCACTTCAAAGAGACAATTCTGCAATAAAAAATGATACTTTCCCACATCAAAGTGACCAGCTCTAGCTTTCTATCCCAAAAGCTGTGAGGCCTATAGCCAAACTCATTAAAGACAAATAAATTGGATTGGATTAGATTAGAAAGGGCAATTTTGCCAACTGATGAGCAAAGTTACAAGGACGTCTGGATTTTGATAAGGACAAAGAGAGGAAGAACAGAACACCAATCTAAATACAGCTATAAATTGCATTGCATGGTGAACCTTTATTATATTTCTTCTCTAGGCAAACAACAAAAACCAAAACAACTAAGAGAGGGTAGAATCAACAAGTTAAAGAAAAAAGGTCAATGGAGCAACCTTTCAATTCTTGCAGTGCTGCAGGGCCCATATGAACAGTAACATTTACCATGAGAGAACAGCATTACCACATAATTTGATGTCGTCTGTAAACATATTACAGAACTATGTTATAGCACTGTAAAGACTAGGGTTGTATCATCATTCCATAGCATAGTTATTACATAATAATAATACTTAGCTCTTACATAACACTTTTTGTCTATGGATTTCAAAGTACTTTACAAAGGAAGATGCAAACCATTATCCCCATGTGGGGGGAAATGAGGCATAGAAATGAGAAGTGATGTGTCCAAGGTCACACAGCTATTTTGAGGCCTAAAGTGGATCGTAAGTGCACAGACTTTGTGTTGGCCCTGGGGGAAGAAGAGGAAGGGCATTTCATTCCATATTAAAGGAAAAGTTGCCAATGCTGAGATGAGCTGATTGCTGAGATGAGCCAATGGGATCAACTTTTTCTTTAAATGAACAAATTTCCCATTGGCATCACATGTGTAGGTGTAAGACAAGGCGTGTTTTAACTGGGTTAGGGTGCGCAATGTAAGTATTTAGATTTTTCTTCTTTTCACCATGGTTTGATTTTTATACTGTGAACCAACAGAGATGTGTGTATGCTAAAGAGTGAATGAGATCCATCCAGATCCACAAATTTGGAGAGAGAAAGATGGGAGGTGAGAAGCAGAGATGATGGAGTTGGGTTCAGTCTGTGGAGGTTGTTTCATTTTCATTAAAGCAGGGCCTTGTGTAGTAACAGACACAATTTGCAAAGGTTGCAACAGTAACAGGAGTTGGTGAATCAGTTAAAATGTAGAAATTGCCTCTTTCTGAGTCTTTAAAAGTTAATCTTAAGTGTTTACTGGAAATATAAATAGCTGTCTGAATATTTTAAAGGCTGTTTATTATACAAAATCTTTTTGCATGATAGTAATAAGAAGAGCAAGTGAAAATAAATCCATGAGTTCTGGTGCTGTTTAGACTTCCTTTGCAGTCATCTGATGATATCTGTTGTTGTCTTGATAATTTTTACTGTCTAGTCATTTATGAAATGCTTACCCAGTGAAGATAGAATTGTTTTCATTTAAAATCTTGGTACAAGCTATTTAGTCTGAGACCAGCTGTGACACTTAAGTATTTCCTGCTTTGATGAACCAGACAATCAAATAATCTAATTAGTCTCCTCATGAGAAGCAGTCAGAACTATGATAGCTTTCCTATTTAAGAATCAATAAAATGGCAAGATGGTAAAATCTGTCAGGGCATCTGTAACATAAATGCTTTATTATGAAAAAATAGAAACCTCATACAGATCTGATTAGAGAAGATTACTTATCTTCATTTGCAATAGTCAGGGATTAGCAAACAGAGCTTATCATTTTGCGTACTTTGTGTGTGTGAGACTGATGGATATTGGTAGTTATTTTCCTCTCTCTCAGTAGCTACTGTATGTAGAGACTACACTTTTGTGACACCCTTAGTCTTTCTGGGTTTAATGTAGTAACAGTTCTTGGGGCTAGATCCTGAGTTTGTTTAAATCAAGGGATCTCCATTTAAGTTAATAATGCTATGCTGGTTTGCACCAGTTGAGGATGTGGCCCCCAATTTTGTGCATGCTAATGTTTCCCTTTTCCATGTGCTTCTATGGCCTTCTGAGCTGTTCAGGCTGTAGAAGGCTATGGAAAGCTCCTTAGCAGGCCAGTCTATTCTTGAGAAAGGCTAAAGAACCCAGCGTCGCAGGCCTGTGAATTGCAGCATAGACTGGGCATGTCCACCTGTCTCTCACTGCAGCTGTATGGCCTATGAACGGTTTCCACTTAATTTTATCTCATCTGTCTTAATGTGATTTATTCACATTTAATTTATGTATGCCTAGTTTTCAAGGATGAGCATAGTTTTTAGAAATCCATATAAATAAAAGTGTCTTACCTATCTATCTGAAACACAAGTTTATTGTGGTTGCAGATATTTCATATCTAGCTTAGGTGTTTCTAGGAAAGCCATTAGTATAATACTCTAAGTATCATATTAATTTACCTTTGCACAGAGGTGTTAACAGAGGACTCAGTAGTTGACTCTTTCCTTTTTGCCTCTCCCTGGTTTGGTATCTTTATTATTTTAGTGTTGTTGGTTTTTCACATTTACTGTTGTTGCTGTCTGCTCTGGGAGGTTGTCCTCTATAGTATTAGAATGCCTTATCTCTTTGTGAAGGGCACTGTTAACTTCAGTATCCAAGAGAAGCACAGCTTTTTCACTGGGTCATTAATGGAGAGATTGTAGACAGCTGTACTTGACTACCCCCGCAAGTCCCTTATGAGCTGCATATTTCATGTAGATGCAATGGAAGAAGTCTTTTGGAAAACTTTGTAGGACAGGGTATTTGCCCTACAGATAGGTCCAGGAAGAGCATTCTAACCATAAGGCGTAGCATGCAGACAGGTAGGTTTAGGAAGAGCAGATGAGGAATCAAAGAAGGCATCAGTCACAGAACAAAGGTGTGGGGGATGCTGTGTGACAAGACATATAAAGAGGGGCAGACTTGCGTAGGGCTTCAAGGTGTGGACAAGAATCCTGAATTTAATGGTAGTTGAATAACTGGAAGTTTGACTGTAACACAATAGATATAGACTTTCCCCAACTCGTTTAATTGCTGACCTTAGTCAACCTTTCATACATTTCTGGAAAAGGTTCACTTCTAATGAAAATTTTACCCTAACTTATACAATTTTTAATTCATTTGTAGATGAATGTCTCACCAGCTTAAGTGGGCAGCGTGCTCAATCATGTGTGGTAGAACATGCTCAACCATGTGTGATGGAAGATGTCAGAAAGGTAACTCAGGGCTCCAGCTGACATTTTTAAAGTAATTCCTCCTACATTATCAGAACCAATTAGCTGGATTATAATCAGATATGCTGAACAACTCATATGATTTACCTGCTCCATCCTTGCTGGAGATGCTTTTAATGGGAGAATGAAAATAGAGCATTCAAGTCAGATGTCAATTAAAATATCCTGTGACCCTAAGTTTAATGCTGGTGAGCATGAGGATGACAAAAAGCATGGATGATTGTACCTAGATGCTACAATGATGGATACCCTAAAAGTAACTGAAAGAGATTACATTAGATATTAATGAAACATTCCGAAAACATGCAACATGCTGCACTGGGCATAGCAGCTGATCTCATTACCACTTCATGCTAGAGATCAAATCACTGAGACTGGGATTTTCAAAGGAGCATAAAGGATTTAAGTGTCTAAATCCCATTCAATTTCAATAGGATTTGGGCATCTAATTCCTTCAAACTCCTTTGAAAATGCAGCCTGTGTTAATAAGAATACTTTACTTATTTTATTTCTTTATATTTAAACAATAAAAATACCAGAACAAAAAAGATCTAGGGACCCTCACAATTAATATAACAGAACAACTATTATTTTGCTTGAATGTGCTATCTTTTCTAGCATGCAACAAGCTACCTAGGCTATCATACATTGACAACTTGCTGTCAGCCTAAGTTTGTAGTTGCAACTGGCATATATTTTGCTTCATGTCTGAGTGATATTTCATCTCACCAGCCACGCTCTGATGCAAGTGCCAAACATAATGAAAGAGAGAGAAGGAAGAATCACAAAGGAGAAAATTATCCACAGCTATATTGAAGGGAGACACACTGGTCATAAAACAAACCTAAACTCGATTGGTATTTTACTGCCTCTTCTTCGACTATTGGTGCTTGAGATGTGCATCGCTGGGCTACTGTCCTTGTAAAAAACAGCATTATGGCAATGCTCACTGCCAACCTAAGAAAAGTAGCAAATATTGAAAACTACTGATGGTGGCACAGCAGGCCCTTCATCCTCATCCCCTGGAAATTAACAAACAGCCTCAAAAATAACTTTTGTTGGGCCATCAAGAACTAGTGACAGAGCAGATGGTAACACCTAATTTCAGCCCAGACTAGTTACCAGCAAGTTGTGGCAAAAGTTAAAGAATCTGATACTGAGGAATGAGAAGAGAGTAGAAAGGGAATTGAGAAAAGTGTCTCAAGCTCACTCCTCAGCCTGCTTTAAGTTATTATTATAATTAGTGACTTTGGACAGGGCCAGTACTTTCTCCTTCATAAACAAACTGGGTGATTTTGACACCCCTTTCCTGTTCCCTCCACCCAACACTGTCAACTGGTTAGCTGAAAACTACAATCTTGAACATGTATGGCATGTACAAGAAACAGGGACCTTGTATTTCATGTATGAACCGCTGATCCAGCCTCCAAAAATATCATGTGTTTTTTGACACAAGGATTATCAGGAGGAAGAAAGAAAATGCACATTTCTCTTTTTCATCTCCTCTCTCTGTTTCACTCTTTCCCTCCTTTGATGCTAGTGACTGTAAATTAGAACAATAAAAATATGGTACTACACCACCAAATTTGTATGCTGCATATTAAACCTGCAGTTTTCCAGGGACAAGCTAGATGAAGTTACCTTGTTACCCACTGTAGTAGTGGGTTGATCACCTGCTCCTGCCTTAAAATGGTTAAAACAGCCCAGGGAGAGGGCTGTGGCAGGGAAGGAAAAGCAGGGCTGACTGGGAGAAGCAGCCTCAGCTGGGGGCCATGCCCCAATCAGGTTGTGGCTGGCTTAATCAGGGCTCATCTGGCCCTTATAAGAGGGCAGTGGGCCAAGAGCACACAGAGTCTCCTCTAGTGGTGGAGGGAGATGGGCTTGGGTGCTGGGGAGGGTACCTGAGGTGAAGCAGGGCTGGGGAAGGCTAGAGGCGCTGGGAGGCTCTGGGCTGGAAAAGCCCCAGGCTGCAGGCCTGGCAGATGGCCTAAGACGGGGTAGTGGGGTTGCAACAGGGCAGCCCAAGGGTAGGCAGAGGCAGCAGGTCCAAACCCCCCTTGCCTATGATGTCTGGCTTATACAGACTGCAGTCAGCCCCAGTGAAAGATGGTGACTGGCAGTAGCCCATAGGCTGAGGCAAGGTGGGGATAGAGGGTGGGGGGTTCCCTGGGGAGGGGAGACCCAGATCTGTGGGGTATTGTCTGGAGGGGCAGCACCCCAGGTAAAAGGGCACTGGGGTCCGGGAGGGACACAGGGGTCAGCAACAGCAAGACACTGGCAGAGGGTGCTCCAGAGCTGGTAAAAAGAGCTAATTCCCAGCCAGCCAGCAGGAGGCGCCACTGGGTGAGTCTGCGGCCCGTTACATCCGCCTACATTTTTCAAATAGCCCCAGTGAGCCAGACGAGTCATATAATTCAATACAGACCTATCTCTTGAAAGTATTCATACACACACTACATTGGAAGAAACAGTATTGATGTAATCCATTAAAAGTAAGCAACACATAGTGAAAAACAAGCTATATCTTCTTCAAATCCTAGATACCAGATGGCATTGGCTAAATGGCTTATGGCTAGGCCTATATCATGGACCACATGCTCTTGCAGGGCCATAAGAACATACCAGATGAGCTACTCAGACCTCGGCTCTAGGCACTCTGGATAGTGGGCCCTACATGCCTATTTACTAACTCCGGAGCAAGTGGGTGAGGGAATGTACAGAGCTGTGGTCCTGCTTCCAAACCACTGTGCCAATGCAGCTGAGCTGGCACAGGGGATGTCCTTCTTTGTTGATGAGACAGGAAACAAGTAGGAAGCAGGTTCAGAGGGTAGAGTGACAATGGAGCCTACTGTAACCCAGTGGCTGGGGTAGCCTATGACACCCCTTACAGGTCTGTCCTGTAGGGAGAATCAGGGGAGGACTGGAGGAATCTTCTTATCAGCAGATCCTCTGGCCCCACCCAGACCTTTTGCTGGGCTTGGTTCTCCTAGCCCCTTGCAGAAAGATCTCCTGCAGAGCAGGGCTCCACACAGTGCAAGGAGTACAATAATTTGCACGCCTACTCACTAAACCTAAACCTTTCCCTTTTGCTGCAGAATCACACTGCTTTTCTAGGGGCATGGAAGTAATGGTAAGATTTGCCTCTATGTTGTGGAAATGTGTGATAAATTCCTGTTTCATTGTGAAGAATTCCCTTTCTTTCATGGGTTGGTGGACAACCTTAATGTTCCTTTTTTTATTTACCAAGATTGTCTGTCTAAACATACTCTTTCTAATGGGGTGTTACATATGAACTATTTTAGACTTCTCCTCCTTTATGGAGTCTTTGAATGACACATAACACAGGAAACAAAACACCTGAAATTGCACAAGTGAATATTAATGGGCTGAAGCACGAATTTCAATGTACTGATTAACAACTGCAAGTTTCCTCTATTTTGCTCCTGGTTTGAAGAGCCTGGAAGTGATTGGTTTTATGTTTATCATTTAACACATACCTCCTGGGAAGGTAGCACTGTTCTGAACACTCAGACTATTTGTCAAGAATAAAAACACATGAATGATCACACTTGGAGAATTATGCTAACTGAAATTTTGCATTGTTGATATTTTTAAATGTTCAGTTATCCTGATTAGAGCTGGATGGATAATTCATAATGAATAATTTGAGGAATTTTGCCTTTTTGTGCACAAACAAGTTGCAATCTTCTTAGATTTATTCATGTATTTCTTCAGTGAATAATTCTTGGCCCACAGAAGTTTGCAAACAGTTCACTGTGAATATTCAAAATCTGAAATTCATACTGTATTAGTTAATTACACAAAAGCCTGGGGTATTACTTCTAGTTCCATGACAGGATGATTTATCTAAAGACCAAGAATAGTAGCAGTTCTAAAATGCATATTCAAGAGTAAAATTTGAACTCTTCCCATTTAGTTATACAATCAGATATTTGCTTTCAGTGATTATTCAACCATTTAGATTTAAAATTCACTTTTTCTTAGTATTCACTTTTTCTTAGTATTAGAAGTGAAGTCTGTTCCTTAGAATATTTATGGAAAGTGAACACAAGAGGGGTACTGTCACAGGGCTTTAGGCTATGCTACTGCCTCAGTTTGCCTTCCATTTTACATTACCCAAACCACTACATTTAGGAGGGGGCTATCACTTGGAGAACACTAGGTCTGGTTTATTACCATAATAGAACACTCAGACCCTTCCAAACCTCTTCCCCTAGCACAGTCTGTTATAAATTGAAACAACTGCCTTCAGCATTCATATAGCTGTTCCCCTAGTTCAAAACACTGGTCAGTTCTTTACAAAGTCCTCCCCTTCATTATAGTCCTCCCTCCAGGTGCATGGTCCTTTAGAGCCCTTCTAGCTGTAGTTTCTCACCCTGCAGGCTATTCAGCTAAGGCTTATCACTCAACAGGCTTCCTTGCAAATCTGCTTGGCAGCTTTAAGGAGCTATCACCAAGCCCCTACCCTCAAACTATCTAGTGGAATGCAAGCCACACCTATAGTCTCCAGAAAGCCTGGATTCTAGTCACCTGCTACCATCACATGACCCTTGGTGCCATTCCCTTCACCTGGGGAGGCTGGCCAAACCTGTTACAGGTAAAGCTGAGTCCTAAACCTTAAAGGTTTCAGAGTAACAGCCGTGTTAGTCTGTATTTGCAAAAAGAAAAGGAGTACTTGTGGCACCTTAGAGACTAACCAATTTATCTGAGCATTAACCTTAAACCATAAACCTTAAAGGGACATCTTACCTGGTGACAAATACAAACAAAGATAAAGCAAATTGGGTTAAAAATTCAAATGAATAGTTGCAATTTTTGTTTGCAGTATTTGCTCTAGTTGTGGTGTTAATCTAATAGAAATTAGCAGATCTCTGTGACACTTGAGAAAATCCTGTGCAATAACAATTAAAACTATTTCACTTGATTATGAGTAGTCTCTCCATAGTTTTTCATGACAGTCTAACCATGGGACTCTTGTGAAGGGGAACTTTCCAACCGCCAAGTAGAAGTTCTGGCAACTAGGATCATCGGAGTAGTGTTACTGTGTCTACTCTACCACCTCATCCTGTTTCTAACTTTCCTGTATGCAGGTGCAGACAGCCTCTGCCCTGAGCGGTAGACCCAGGTGCTCAGGGACATGTGGAATCTTCCTATTGGGCTTCCTCATTCTATGGAACCTTGGTGATTCTGCTGCCTTTTAGGCATTCCACGTCCCTGCAAAGGGCAGTGAAGACAGGCTTTGGTGCTGTTAATCTGTTCTCAAGAATGAATCCTTAAGAAAAGGTCACCAAGACATCAATCATCTTAGAGACTTTTCATTTCACTCTGAAATTCAGACTGCACAGGGACAACTCCTCCACATTACTGCAAGCAACCATTGGAATGCTAACAGCAAAATGATTTTAATGTCTTTTGATTATTACACAGTGCATTAATGTGAATTCTGCACTGCTCACTGGTATGGTATGGAATGTATCATATCCTTAGGGTGGGTGGAGAATGGGGGAACTGATCGTGCATTGTTTTCTTTGCTTATTTTTCAAGTTGCAGAAGCAGCTGTGTGTGACTTTGAATTGTGCTTTGAATTTTATTTAAAAACCAAACAAACCCCAAACCTGATTCTCAGCTAAAGACTGTGCTGATTAATCTGAGACCAAACTGGCAGCTCTTTAGCCATTCTATGAATAGAATTTCTTTAACACCACTCCTTATTCAGGCTTTGCAAGCTGAAATAGAGACAACAACTTAAAGGTGAAATTCACCCCAATGTGCAGACCCTGTGCACCTCAAACCCTGGGCTCAATGTAACCCACAAATATGAAAGAAATGGGGTGTATCCTTTTTGGTCTCTGTGTGATACATGAGGAAGCACTAACCATTTTCCTATTATTAAAGAGTTCCCCCCATTCTTTTTATATAGAAAATCAGGTCTTATCTACCCTAAAAGACTCCATATTGATGACTGGAAACTGGTAGCATAATTACATTATGAGTACCAAGGAACTGAAACCTGAATAACTAAGAGGGCAAGTGGTTTTTATACAGAGTGTTAAGAATGCTTTGGCCAAGCTGTGCTACTTTTACTCACATTGGTGACAGCTACTCATGTAAGTAGTGTCATTGATATCATTAGGACTCCTTGCTTGCGTAAGTGCTCACCACCAGTGTGAATAAAGTTTTCCCAATTGGACCTTTTGCTTTTTGTTAACACCCATTTAATTTTAACATCTGAGAAACCCTGCGGAGAAAGACTCACTTTGTTTAAGATTCCGCACATCTTGAGACCTTAATTAAAGGGGATGGAAAGCTCACAATGGATATTTGTAAGGATGCAAGCAAAACCAAGGAAGACCCAACAGTTCTGATGTTTCCAAGGTAAAAGCAAACAGGAAAAAGCTTCAAAGTCCATTTGAACGTTTTTTGTCCATAGGCTTATGTGTCTCTGTCTGGCTATGACTGAACCTCCCTTGAATACTGAACACTGGTTTACTGCCCTTCCTCAGTGTCTCAAACTAAAATTTAACATTAAAAAACCCCAAGCTTCTCAGCTTTAAATGTGATGTTAAAAGTTAAAGTTAAAAGTAAATCTCCACAGTGTTCAGGGTCAGAGAGCTTGAAAATGTTGATGCAAAGAGGCAAGTGCCCTTCCTCAAAAGCACTTTAACTTCATGTATGCATTGGAACAATCAACAGCCTTGAATTCATTGAATGCAATGTGCGAAAGGAGCTTAAGGTACCATCAAGAGGCAATAGAAAATAGTCAAGCATTTGTCCACATGTAAATAGTTAACTGACTGTTGTCAGACATCATGATTCAAGGTTGTTCTATTAGGCTTAACACAAAGCTGTGCGATTACAGAATTATGCAAGTTGCAAAATACATTCAAGATGACAAGGTAGTCTTAACCATGGCATTGTAATGACAATGAGTGATTTTTTTTTCTAAACTTATTTTAGCCTACACAGCACAGGTAGGGCATCAGATACTCAGTATTGTCCTCATTTTATTCCATTTTTCTGCTGGGATGAATGAGGCAAAAGGAAGTCAAGTGTCTTGTCCAAGTGCATACATTCATGCCAAAAATGTGCAACATTTATAGGCCTGATTTTCAAAATTGCCAAACCCAACCATTCAAAAAATCATAAGTCAGGCCCCCACAACATCATGAAATATTTTTAAAAATAATACAATTTGTATTTTTTTTTCTTTCTGGATTTTGAAGCTTTAGGATGCATTTGGGTTATGTTCTTAAACTTTTCTCCACAACTATGTGGGCTAGACACTTTTGAAATGAAAGCTGAGAGTCTTAGGCCATGTCTACACTACGAAATTACTCCAGTTTTACAGAAGTCAATTTTTGGGAACAGATTGTATAAAGTCAAGTGCAGGTGTCCACATTAAGCACATTAATTCGGTGTGTGTCCACAGTACCGTGGCAAGCGTCAACATTCCAAGCCGTGCACTGTGGGTAGCTATCCTGCTATGCTGCCCATTGGCTGAGCTCCCAATGCCTGATGGGGCCAAAAATTTGTCTTGGGTGGTTATGGGTAAATGTCGTCAGTCAGCCCTCCCTCCCTCCGTGAAAGCAACAGGAGACAATCATTTTGCGCCCTTTTCCCTGGATTGCCCAAGCAGACGCCATAGCATGGCAAGCATGGAGCCCATTCAGCTCACCGCAGCAGTTATGACCGTTGTAAACGCCTCTCGCATTATTGTGCAGTTTATGAAGAACCAGCACCTGAAAAACCCGGCAAGGAGGCGACGGCAGCGCTGTGATGAGGACATGAGTACAGATTTCTCTAAAACCGCGGTCCCCAGCAATTTGGAGATCATGGTGTTACTGGGGCAGGCTCATGCTGTGGAACGCCGATTCTGGGCCCGGGAAACAAACACACAGAGTGGTGGGACTGCATAGTGTTGCAGGTTTGGGATGATTCCCAGTGGCTCCAAAACTTTCGCATGCATAAGGGCACTTTCATGGAACTTTGTGACTTGTTTTCCCCTGCCCTGAAGCGCATGAATACCAAGATGAGAGCAGCCCTCACAGTTCACAAGTGAGTGGCAATAGCCCTGTGGAAGCTTGCAATGCCAGACAGCTTCCAGTCAGTCGGTAATCAATTTGGAGTGGGCAAATCTACTGTGGGGGTTGCTGTGATGCAAGTAGCCAGTGCAATCATTGAGTCTGGGAAATGTGCAGGTCATAGTGGATGGCTTTGCTGCCATGGGATTCCCTAACTGTGGTGGGGCTATAGACGGAATGCATATCCCTATCTTGGGACCAGACCACCAGGGCAGCCAGTACATAAACCGCAAGGGTTACTTTTCAATGGTGCTGCAAGCACTGGTGGATCACAAGGGATGTTTCACCAACATCAGCATGGGATGGCCAGGAAAGGTTCATGACTTTCGCATCTTCAGGAACTCTGTTCTGTTTAAACAGCTGCAGGAAGGGATTTACTTCCCAGAGCAGAAAATAACTGTTGGGGATGTTGAAATGCCTATAGTTATCCTTGGGGACACAGCCTACCCCTTAATGCCCTGGCTCATGAAGCCGTACACAGGCACCCTGGACAGTAGTAAGGCGCTGTTCAACTATAGGCTGAGCAAGTGCAGAATGGTGGTAGAGTGTGCATTTGGACATTTAAAGGGTCGCTGGTGCAGTTTACTGACTGACTCAGACCTCAGCGAAACCAATATTCCCATTGTTATTGCTGCTTGCTGTGTGTGCCACAATCTCTGTGAGAGTAAGGGGGAGATGTGTATGGCTGGGTGGGAGGCTGAGGCAAATTGCCTGGCCACTGAATATGTGCAGCCAGACACAAGGGCAGTTAGAAGAGCACAGCAGGAAGTGCTGCACATCAGAAAAGTTTTTAAAACCAGTTTCATGACTGGCCAGGGTACTGTGTGACACTGTTTGTTTCTCTTGATGAAAACCCGCCCCCTTGGTTGACTCTAAATTCCCTGTAAGCCACCAGCCCTCCCCCCTCGATCACAGCTTGCTTGCAAAGGAAATAAAGTCACTATCATTTTAAAAAATGTATTCTTTATTAATTGATTATAAAAATAGGTAGATAACTCACAAGGTAGCCTGGGTGGGGTGTGGGAGGAGGGGAGGAGGGAAGGAAAGGCCACTTTAAAACTTATTGAATGACAGCCTTCTGTTGCTTGGGCTGTCCACTGGGGTAGAGTGGTTGGGTGCCCGGAGCCTCCCCTGCCCTGTGTTCTTGGGTGTCTGGGTGAGGAGCCTATGGAACTTGGGGAGGAGGGAGGGCGGTTAAACAGGGGCTGCAGTGGCAGTCTGTGAGCTTGCTGCTGTTCATGAACCTCCATCAGATGCTGGAGCATGTCCATTTGATCCCGCAGTAGCCTCAGCATTGCCTCATGCATCCTCTGATCCTCCTGCCAGCACTTCTCCTCACGTTCATCAGCCACTTTCCTGTACTCTGCTGTTGTGTCCCTCCACACTTTCTGCTGAGCTCTGTCAGTGCTGGACGACTGCATGAGCTCAGAGAACATTTCATTGCGCGTGCGTTTTTTTTCCCCCGCCTTATCTGAGATAGCCTTTGGAACGGAGGAGGGAGGCTTGAAACATTTGCAGCTGCAGGAGGAAAAAAAACATTTTACAGAACAATGGCTGTACTCTTTCACGGTGAACAACACTTCACATTACATAGCACATGTGATTTTGGTACAAGGTCGCATTTTGTATCTTATATTGAGTGCCTGTGGCTTTGGTGTTAAGAGATCACACACGCAGTGCCGGGCAACAGAATTCGGCTTGCAGGTGGCCATGGTAAGCCATAGTCTTTTGGCTTCTGCAGCCTTCATAACAGCAGCGCCCTCCTCTTGCATACCAAGCAAAGCATGTTGAGTTGGCCATTTAGTGCTGTGGTTTTCCTGTTAACGTGCAGCAGCAGAAACCAGTGATTGCTTTACACCTCACCCCACCATGTGGCTAGTATCAGGGAAGATTCCTGCTAGCCAAACGCGAACAGCTCAGTGCCAATGCCCCCCCCCCCCGCGCATGCCTAACTGCGGGGAGGATTTCTTTTGAGCCACAGGTAAACAGCCCAGTAGGAACGGCCACCTCTGAATGTCCCCTTAATTAAATTCCCGTATTTCAACCAGGTTACCATGAACGATATCACTCTCCTGAGGATAACACAGAGAGATAAAGAACGGATGTTGCTTGAATGCCGGCAAACATTGGGACCATACGCTGCCAGGCTTTATCATGCAATGATACCAGATTACTTGCTACTAGCATGGCGTGGTAAGGTGTCTTACCATGGAGGATGGAATAAGGCTGCTCTCCCCAGAAACCTTCTGCAAAGGCTTTTAGAGTACCTCCAGGAGAGCTTCATGGAGATGTCCCTGGAGGATTTCCGCTCCGTCCCCAGATATGTTAACAGACTTTTCCAGTAGCTGTGCTGGCCACGAATGCATCCCAAGTCCTCAGGGCTACTTAATCATTAATGACACTTACTTTTATAACATGTATTATATTTAAAAAGGTACACTCACCAGAGGTCCCTTCTCCGGCTTCTTTGGATTGGGAGGGTATTTCAGTCAGGGTGATAAAAAGATCCTGGCTGTCGGGGAGAACAGTGTGCTGTGCGCTCTCTTGAAGCTCATCCTCCTCCTCATCTTCCCCGTCCGCAAAATCCTCAGGCATGGCGGAGAGTACCCCATCACCGGAGTCCATGGACAGAGGTGGGGTAGTGGTGGCAGCCCCCCCCCCAGAATTGCATGCAGCTCAGTGTAGAAGCGGCATGTCTAGGGCTCTGTCCTGGAGCATCCATTTGATTTTTTGGTTTTCTGGTACGCTTGTCTGAGCTCCTTAAGCTTCATGCTGCACTGTGTTGCGTCCCTGCTATAGCCTCTGTCCCTCATGGCCTCAGAGATTTTTTGAAATGTTTTGGCATTTCGTCTTTTGGAAAGTAGTTCTGATAGCACGGATTCCTCTCCCCATACAGCGATCAGATCCAGTACCTCCCGTTCGGTCCATGCTGGAGCTCTTTTTCGATTCTGGGACTGCATGGTCACCTGTGCTGATGAGCTCGCCTGGCAAAACAGGAAATGAGATTCAAAAGTTCCTGGGGCTTTTCCTGTACACCTGGCCAGCGCATCCGAGTTCAGAGTGCTGTCCAGAGTGGTCATAATGGTGCACTGTGGGATAACTCCTGGAAGCCAATACCTTTGAATTGGATCCACACTAACCCTAATTCGAAATGGCTATGTCGATTTCAGCACTAATCCCCTCATTGGGGAGGAGTACAGAAATCAGTTTTAAGAGCCCTTTATGTCGAAAAAACCGGCTTCGTTGTGTGGACGGGTGCAGGATTAATTCGATTTAACCCTACTAAATCCGACAAATTCGTAGTGTAGACCAGGCCTTATGAAGTAATATGATTCCAGGAGCTGAGGAAAGACTAAATATAACCAGAGTTGCCAACACTGGGGATGCCTTACAATTGTGTAGCCTTTTTTACACCTGTGCAAAGTGAGTGTGAGGAGGGTATAGAAAGCTGCAACTAATTTCCTAGCATTTTACACAGGTGTAAAAGAATACACATGGCTGGAGAACCACACCCTGTCTTGTTAAAACACTTTGCAATCTTTGGACCTGATTCTCTACTTTAATAGACCAGTTTTACATTAGCGCATCTTCTGATCAGTGAAAGGTAGGATGAGGGAATGGACAGGAGGCTGTGAATGCAACAGATAAGTGGGATACAGGGAGGGAGGAATTCACTGGTGGTCACTTTGCACCAGCAAGCATCAATTCAGCTGGTGCAGTAACGGCAAAGGGGCCAGATGGCCTAGTCTGGCTCCCTAAGAGGTGCAGGTGAAGCTCCACCAACTCTGAGCTGTTTCTACAGCAGCACAGCAGTGTTCTGTGTTGGGGGTGGAAGCATGGTCAGGGAAAACCTTTACCCATTAATGTCCTATAGGGTCTCTTGCAGCCCTCTATATAGTAACCTGTACCTCCTCCATCCCTGTGCAGGGATGCATCTTGCCTGGAGCCTCCAAGGTCAAGGGAAAAGAGTGTATGGTTTTAAATATAAGTGAATTAAAATTATTGGTATTAGTAGGCACATGAAAATAACAAATTTTTTTTTTCAGTAAATTGTTGTATTTGTCAACTAACATAACAGTGCTAGTTCTAAAAGGTAGCAATCAGCGATTTTTATGGAAACTGGGATACTGTGTCTTTCTGAAACAGTTGATCTGAGAGGAAAACTTGCTAGCAGACTAATATTAGAGGGCTAAAGAAGAGATTAATTTATTTTGTTTGTTGAGAAACAACAATTACTGTAAATCGTGGGCAGCTTTGGGAAAAGAATTTCCAAGTGGAAATGTTACCCTATTTGTCTCTGACAGAATTAATGTGTGCTCTGTACCCCTACAGCTGTGGTATTTATGTCAGCCAGCCTCCCTGAGTGTGTCAATGCCAGGGATTCATTTAAATTATGAAGAAGAGAGATTGCAGATTTTTTGAATTTGATAGCTACAATTATAAAAGTATCGAGTTATAACAGAGCCTCATAGCAGTGTGAGTAAACCTAAGAAACAGATGATTCCTAATAAAGAGGGAGGAAAAGATGCAAAGAAAAATGGAGGCATTCAAATACGACAACAAAGGGAGATAAAATGCTAACTCCCTATGCAGGGTGGTGATGGGAAGCAATCAATATGCTCTGCCACAGGAGCTACAGGGAATAAAGTAACTGCAACAGGAAAACATTATTAAGGGGCAGGGGGAGACAGGGAATTACCAAACCCCAACAACAACAAAACAAACCTTGGCAGATAGAAGAGACCAATCAAGAAAAGAAATCTAGTTTTAAAAATATGACACACCAAACATTGTGCTCAATATAACAGCAATGACAGAACAGAGGTATATTTAGAACCTGAAATAATCAAAACAGGCTATTGAGAAGTTTCCAGATGTCAGTCAAGGAGTTTTGGTGCAGGAAAATTATCATCCAGATTAAAAAGAAATTTACTTATTGACTGTTTTCCTAAGACGTCTGTTACCATGCAGTGATCCTTCTTGCACAGGGGGAAAAACACCACACAGTTTTGGGTTGAAATTTTTCAGGGTTATTTAATTCTGTACTGATTTTGACATTGCCACTTCCAGTAATTGTTTAAGTTGGCTATTCACTAACTACTTACTGAACTTCATTTCCATGACAACTTCTTGTATTACAATGTCTGATAATCTCAATAGAACATAGCTATTAATTTAAAACACCTAAAAGATGCTCAAAGGTTCATCTCTGGTTTCCTAGGCAATGTCTTCCATGTCATCCCAGGATATCCCAATACATTCAAGAGGCATTCCATCAACTTTTAATAATTGTACACTGACCTACAGTATGCACAATATACAAAACTTAAAATATTAGATGACAAAAATCTTTACTGATTGTATTCAGAAATGTTGCTTCTTAGCTAGAATCCAATTAGTTTGCCCAAATGCATATCTTTTCTCCATTAGGCCTGCAAAAACAATGCTCTAAGAAGACATATGTAAGCATCCAAACCAATCAGAGGATTAAAAATAACTTTGCATACCAAAAGAAATATTTTTTATAGTATTAGTGACAATTTCTTACCACCTCAAAGTAAAATACATGTATAAAAATAGATAAAACATTGCCATCTGTGTGAAGAGCATCTGGAGAAAACCAAAGGATGTATTGCAATGCATGTACTCTTTCAGCTAGATTATTGTGTAATGGTTAAAAAAAGACCTTAACAGGAAACCCACCCCAATATCTTTTGAAAGATACTGAGGCCCACAAAATGAGCAAACCTAATTCTGCACCATATCTGGGGCTGTTCTAAATTGTGCTGGCTTTTTAGAGCCCACCATAGCACATTATGCTGGTGCAGAATAGCTGGAGCGTGCTGCTAGCTGACCACACTTCCTCAAGGATACCGGAACCTTTGTAGATGTGGGGCGGGGAGGGCCAAGGCCAAAGTGGATTCC